CAATTCGTAAAAAAGACAAAAAAAAACTAATTAAGACATGTGTGTCCGTCAACCTTAAACAATAATCTTTGTCAATTTTATTTTTCAGTCTTTATGATGATTGATACTTGATCTATCTCTTACTGTTACATCCCTGGGCAATGCCGGGCTCTACTGCTAGTTAAGAAATAAAGGGGAGATAGTTGTGTTTAATGTTTGTTTCAATAAAAAGGAAAAGTTGTCCATTTCAAATCTTTTAATTTGTACCCACTTCTTAAATTAACGACCAGCCTTCATATTTATGTTTATTATTGCATTATTTTGTTAAAGTTGTTAAGCTCAAATATTTAAGTGATGTGAGAGGAGAATTTTTATGACTATCTTATTGTCATAGAACTCACCATTCAATCATTAACGGAAGAATTAAGATTCATTCATTAGAAAACTCAAATTTTCCTATTTGAGTTTTCTAATGAATGAATCTTAATTCTAGTGTCTTTCTAGTGAAATGTTGTGTCTATTTTATATGGCCTGAGTTCACTATTCTGATATTATCTAGAAGAGATACTCCTGGGCATGATGATAAACTACATCCAGCAGCAAGACCTCTGATCAGAAGATTGGAGGTTTTGAGGAATCACTTCTGAATTGCTGTTGTTCACAGGTACCCCCTGACCTGGGGTGGTACCACCTGTTAGGATCTCAACTATGGGAAAATAGTTAACCCCCAAGCAAAAACAAAACACTATAAAAGTATAAAAATAGATTTTTTATAGTATAAATACCAGCAATACATTTTCATATAAAAAATATTACCAACAATGCATATTTATAGTTGAATGGCATTAAATAACTTATAGACATTGCCAAAATTGTGAGCTTTGAACTGAAGACATCAGAATCAAGAAAGTTCTGAAAGTTAACTATCTGGGTATTGTAGTAACAGAGGATGGTATTTGTGACACAGAGATCTGAAGGTGCATTGTAATAGTGAAAGAGGTCTTTCAGAAACTAAGCAAAGTATTAAGACATATGAATATTTCATTAGATGCAAAGAAAAGAGTACTGAACTGGTATGTCATATCTATCTTCCTGTATGGCAAGAAATGCAGAACAATTTCCTTACAGATGAAAAAGAATTGAAGGTCCAGAGATGTGGTTCTGTAGATGGATATTGAGAATACTATGGACAGAACATGTGTGCAATGAGGAAGTGTTTGAGAAAATAAAAACCAAAAAGATACACATACTTAAAATCAGAAAGAGGTAGTTGAAATTTTGTGGACATATTATGAGGAAGGACAGCTTGGAAAATTTAATACTCACAGGATGTATTAAGGGAAGTAAGGATAGAAACAGGGAGAAATTTAACTAATGAGTTTGTGCATATAGATGGCAAAGCAGTGTCAATAAGGGATGATAAAGAGGTTTAGAACTAGAAGAATCAGGAACTTGTGGAGAGCTCTGATTTCCCATGTCCTTTAACAGACATGGCATTTAAATGATGATCATCCAAAGAGCAGATACTGATATTTTTGTTAAATAATGCTGGTGATCATAGTTTATATGATGAATAAAGTTGAAGTTGGCTTTTTTCTGCATGAAAATGTTATTGATTGTATAAATCAAGCTTATGGCCATATCATGTTGAAACACTAGTTCTTGTTCAGTCACTGAAGTTAAGCAATGTTGAGCCTGTTCAATACTCTAATGGGTGACTGCTGTGGAATTGTTGATTGCATAAATCAAGTTTTTGGCCATATCACATTGAAACACCAGTTCTCATATAATCATTGAAGTTAAGTAATGTTGAGCTTGGTCAGTACTCAGATGAGTGCTGTAAGCTATGTGACAGGCCTAGCAAGCTGGTGATGGATTCAATCTCTCTACTTACAGAAGACCTTGATAAGTGGAACTGTATGAAAATATTGTTGATTTTATAAATCAAGGTTACAGCCATATTGGAACATTGGTCAGTCAGTGAAGCACTGTTGAGCTTGGTCAGTGATCAGATCAGTAACCACTGGGAAATTGTTGATTGTATAAATCAAGCTTATGGCCATATTGGAATATTGATTTTCATTCAGTCACTAAGGTTAACCATTTGAGCTCTACATTCCTGAGACAAAATTTGCAGATAATTGTTATGTAATGTTTCAGGGTAGATATAAAAGTAGTTACAAGTGTTTACCCACTGTTCAACCAGTAGCTGAGCATTAAGTCATTTTTCTCTACCACTGTCCAACATTTGGCTGGGCATTACATCATTTTTCTTTATGACAGGGCTCAAAGGGTTAAGTGATGTTGTGCTTGGTCAGTACTCAGATGGGTGATTGCTGGGGAATACCAGGTGCTGTAAGTTATGTAACAGGCCTAGCAAGCTGATAATGTATTCAATATCTCTACTTCTACTAACAGAACACTGCGATATGTGGAGCTGCTTCTGGACTAACAGGTTGCAAGACCTACCTGGAGTTAGGTGAGTGTGTGTAAATCCATTTATTTAGAACATATAAAAGTTGGTTATAATGGGTAGCTTTTGATTGTCAGTGTTCCAGAATGAGGTTTCTCCTCTACAGTGTAATATTTGTGGAATTTGTTGGGGGTGGGGAAGAGTGAGAAGGAAGTGTGTTCAGAGGCTTTCTGTTTTTTCATTCTTTATAGTGGTGGTGAGAGAGACGGAAAAAATTGTAAAAGGATTATTCATTCCCTAACACTTTCATGCATACAAATACCTTCATTTTGATATTGCTAATAAATGAGTAGGAAGTGTTTTAATAGAAAACAGAAAGTATAACAGTGAAATCTGAAGATGCAATGGGATAGTGAAAAATACCTTCCAAAAGCTAAGCAAAGTATTAAGATAATAGAAAATTTTGTTGGAAACTAAGAAAAGAGGACTGAATTGTCACACAATATTAGTCCTCCAATATAGCAGTGAATGTTGGACAATCACCTCACAGATGAAGAAGAGACTTGAAGCAACAGAAGTCATTCTACAGAAGGATGCTGAGAATACCTTGGACCGAACATGCGAGCAATGGCAAAATTTTAGAGAAAATGGAAACAAAAAGGGCACTTGTATTTAACATCCGGAAGAGACAGCTGAAATTTCTAGGGCACATAATGAGGAAAGAGGGATTGGAAAATTTGATACTTACAGGATATATTGAAGGCAAGATGGACAGGGAAACAATGCAGAATCTACTTAGAGAGCATGACTAAATGGATGGCAATGGAAAGTTTTGGAGAGATAACAAAAGGACCAAATTTATTAAGAGCTACAAAGGAGAGAAAATAGTGGAGAGCCATGATCACCTATCTTGTGAACTGAGGTGGCACATAGAAGAGAAATATCTGCTTTAAAAGGATGAATGCGTCTATTGTCAATTGTTGTTTTTTTTTAAATGCTAACTCTGTGACAGTTTATTTTTTGTTTTTGGAATTTATTTCAAAGATCTAAATAATAAGCGTATGTCATAGCCAACCTGTCACTGTTTCTGATTTTTTCTTTTACTCAAATGTTTGTCATCAAGACCAATTGCACAAAGGATAAAAGCAAAGAAGAATTCCTTATTGTTCCTTTTATTGTTTTCTACACTAAATGTCTTTAATTGTGTTCATAGACATATTCTGAGACACAAAATGGTAATGCCAGTGATGAAAGAAATATTTAAAGAATTATGAGTCATGTTGTACTGGAACTTTCTTTTCTTTTGTTTTTTTTTGTTTTAACTCGGTTTTGTTCAGGAACCAACCAATCACCTATTTTGTGAAAAAAAGACATTATGTGCAAAAAGTAAAAAAAAAAAAAAAAGAGAAAAAAAAGCCTGTCTGAAATAGTTAAATATCTGGCAATCTAGACCTTCATGCCTGCCAAAAAGTGTGTCAAAAGTATGCTTTTTACTTTGATTATCAAGACAATTTTGTAATCGTCTGTTATCTTCACTATTTTTACTCCTCAGCAATGTGTATTGTCTTAATAAGTGATTAGAATTTTAATAAAACCTAAACAAAGTGAATTTATACATTTTTGTTGTTCTTTGAGAATTGACAACAAAAATAATAAACACTATTTATTTACATTATTATATTGATTACTGGAATGGTTGGTATGGTAATAAAATAAGCACATCCCATATTCCCTCTCACTTGTAACTATCCAGTATAATAAAATAAATATTTTCAGTGTTAAAGCTGAATGAGTCAAGTAAAGCTTCATAAGCTTCTACTTAGAGTTGTTACAGTTGTCAAAATATTGGCTAATTGTCAATTGATTTGAGCTTTATAAAATGGTAAATAAGGATTTCCTTATAGTTGGTTCACATATTTTTATAATTTACTAAATGTTTATAAATTTATTAATAAATTCTTTTCATATTTATTTCTTTATAAATTGGTAAATAATAAATATTGTATTGCATTAATTTTAATACAATTGTATTAATTTTTAGAATGTTCTAAATATAAATTTTTTCTTGTAAATAAACAATCTAATAAATAGTGTCTAATATTTTTCTTGCAAATTTAAAAAAAAAAATGTATAAATTCACTTTCACCATGTTTAGTTTTTATTACAATTTTAATCATTACTTTTTTTTCAAAAAATAAACATTGCTGAGAAGTAAAGGTAGTTAAAATAATAGTGGGGCCAAAGGAAGAATCATCCTTTAAACACTTCATTTTTTTCTTGGCATGAAGGTCTAAGATTGCCAGGTTCTTTTTTTTAACCCATTCATAATTAATGCTGTAAAATCCGGTATTACAAAACCTAAAATAAAAAAAAAAAAATTTAAAAAAGAGCTTGGAGAATTTAACACTCACAGGACATATTGGAAACAAGGAGAGAGGGTAAATGGTGAATAACTTACCTAATGAATGTGTGTCAATGAATAGCAGGACAGGGTGTGGTCAGAATAGTAAAAAGATAAACATTTCTAAGGGTTACAAAGGACAGGAAGTTGTTGAGAGCCATGTTTGCCTACTTCCTGAAGAGACACAGGATAATTATAGTTTTCTAGAGGGCCATATCATGTTGAAACTACGGTTCTCATATGATCACCAAAGTTAAGCAATGTTGAGCCTAGTCAATACCTAGATGGTTGACCACTTGGGAATACCAAGTGCTGTAAACTGGCATGTGTGGGTAATGTACTGTACTGTACTGTACTGATGCGGCATTCACCCTGGGCGGATTGAGCCGGCTTCTTCCTGTTATGAGAAGAAGATTCTTGGGATAAATTACAGAAGTAGGGTACCCAGGCCTACTCGTGTGGGTAATGTAATGGATAATGGCTTGGAATTGGAAATCAGAGAGCTGTGTTTTAATTCCAGTTGGTTTTGTTGTATTTGCTTTAGTGCAAATATCCTTGGGAAAGGTATAAATTCCCCCTCCTCTCCACCCAGCTATGGGTTAATTAATAAGAATTTTATCACTCAACCATTATTATCTCTAAAAAATTCTTACAATCTAAAAATATTTCTGGCTTTAAATATCCTGTAAAGGGTTGATAAACTGTAAAAAAACAAATCAATCAAAATCAAATCAAAATTTTTTTTTTTAATTAATTCACCTCAAGCCAGGCAATAATGCCACTAAGATGCAAGAGGCTACTGAGAGTGAAAGAGATGAAGAAAACTTTAGAAGGAACTGGAAACCCAATGCTAGCTACTCCTGTTCAAAAGACAGGGTATAGGTTTCTACGTATATCTATTAATGCTTATTATCCATACTTTCAGCTCTGTTCCACATCTAAGCTATGCTTAGAAAACTGCTATTAAAGCTTCAGTTATGTACCATGTGTGATACGCGCTTAGGCGATCATGTATCTTTCGATATATGACTGACGAGGCAGATTTTTTTTTTTTCTGCAGTAGGTTGCCATTTCTTTCTGTGGTACACCAGTTGCCATCCAATGCTATATAACCCGTTCTGTCCTGCTATTTACCCATAGCTGGGGGGAGAAGAAGAGGATTCATACCTTTCCCAAGGGTATTAGCATGTAAGTCAATGTAACGGATCCGATTGGAATTCAACCGTCCCATTTTGGGGGCAGTTGGCATTAATGATTTAATTTGAAAGCTATGCATTTATTAATGTTAATTTAGAAATTAATTTCATTTTTATTATAATTTGAAAATATTTATTTTTATTAAAATACTTTTGTTAACTTTTAGCATTTTTTTTATCATTTACTAATTACTTTAATATATTTAATTTTATTAAACCTTTTTAATTCTTAAAATGTTTTTGTCATCTGATTTTATTATTTTATTTTAATTATTAATGTTATTTTAGTTTTAATTAGGAAAAAAGAACATTCTCAGGTCATTAGTAAATACAGTGTACTTTCAGGTAGGTGGTCCACTGCCTATCTTTGTTTCTTTTTCCTTTTGATATGACTTGTGAGTGTCAAATTTTCCAAACTCTCCTTCCTCATTATGTGTCCAAGATATTTTAATTATCTCCTTCTGATTCTGAGTATAAATAGCCTTTTTGTTTCTAGATTCCTTACCTCATTGCTTACACCTTCATTCCATAGTATTCTCAGCATCTTTCTGTAGAATTACATTTCTGTTTGCCTTCAGTCTTTTCTTCATCTATGAGGTGATTTTTTAGTATTCACTGCCATATAGGAGGATTGATATGACATAGAAGTTCAGCACTTTATTCTTTATTTCTAACAAATGTTTCCCCCTTTTTTCAGTACTTCGTCAATAATAACACCTATTCCAGAAATTCACCCAGAAGGCGATCAGGTGATAATAACAGCAAAGATGAGGACATTGGTCTGAATGTAATAATGAAAATATTAACTCCTCATCCCAGAAATTCAAACAGAAGATGATCAATTGATGACAATATTCAGTCCCCCCCCCACGAGGGTGTCATGTGGCACAAGGCCTTTTTAACGTGGGCATTCCCGAGTCATTAGGCTCGACCAAAAAAATAGCCCATTTGAACCCAGTATAAACGGGTTCAGGGCGATTTTACCTCCCGAAGGAGACTCCGCCCTTGGCGTAGCCTCCTTCGGGTTCCTCCTACCCGTAGGAAGAGAGTTAAACTGAACAATCGCTCAGAAAGTGAACGACTGACAACAACAAAGATGAGGATATTGGTTCAAATTTAAATACTGTAAATATTGATAACCTCTCACCTCAGAAATTAAGACAGAATGAATTTTAATTGGATTGTTATTGTAATCAGCTTGAGATGATTAGCAATAAAAGAGAAATGTGACGATTATAAAGGAGCAGATATCTGTTTATACTGAGAAATTATAATGCATTAGCAAATAGTCCAAGCAAATAATCAGATGAGAAAAGTAGGTTATTTATTTATAAGTATTTCAAGTTGTTCTGTGGGTGGGTATAGACAGATCAAACAAGTTTATAGATATCTGCTTTAGATATAGTGTGGAAGAAAATTATTGAAGTCAATATATTTTGAATTAAAGTGTCTTGTGACACATATCTAAAATAAAATGAATTCATAATTTCTATCCAAATTTCTGTGTATTTACAATTTACATTCAAAATAATATCCTCATCTTTGTTGTATTTATCACCTGATCACCTTCTGTCTGAATTTCTGGAATGAGGAGTTATCATTATTTAAATTATTTACATTCAAATTAATATCCTCATCTTTGTTGTTATTGTCACCTGATCACCTTCCATTTGAATTTGAGATGAATTTAGATTTGGACCAATATCCTCACTTTCTTATTATTATCAATTATTATATATCAGAAATTATCTAATTTCTGCCTGAATTTCTGGGATGAGGAGTTATTGTTATTTATACTGAATAGCAAGACTAACTGAATTCTATAGCCTTCGTTGACAACCAGTCTACTGCAGAAAGAAACGGCAACTTACTGCAAGAAAATCTAACTAGTCAGTTATGAATCGAAAGCGATTGCAATGTAATTATCTTTATTAAAAAATCTTTCACAAATAAAATATACTTTTCTGAAACTTCGAAGAACTCAAGTGCCTGCAAACTGATAGGCTAAGAATATCAGCAAAATTTCTTCAATAGAAACCAAAAATAATAGAAATTTGCTATCCTAATGGTCATCATATTCTTCTATGTGTCATGTCCCTCCAGGATGTTGGTGATCATGTGTTGTAGAGTAGTTTTCACAGTAGAGGCTTGTATTTCAATAAGTCGTCCTAAATTATGTTCGACGTTCAAAACGTTAAGAACTTGAAATAAGAGTTGATGACGCAGCAATCTAGTTGTGATGGTTGGTACTTCAATGTCCGATATCGACTGACTCGCTCAACGCCACTGAGCCCAACTGGCTACTGCTACTACTATTTATTATCTATGGGAGAGTCTATTAATAATAGAATAGGTACATCATGGCTCTCCAAAATTTCCTGTCTTTTGTAGCTTTTAATAAATTTTATGTTTTGTTATCTTTCCTATACCCAGTTCTGCCATCCATTTACATAATCTTGTTCTTCCATGTGCTGTGTCCCTTCAGGGCATTTATGATCATGGCTCTCCACAACATCATGCCCTTTGTAGCTCTTAATAAATTTTGTCTTTTTTTTGTTATCTCTTATACCCAGTTCTGCCATCCATTTACATAATCTTGTTCTTCCATGTGCTGTGTCCCTTCAGGGCATTTACGATCATGGCTCTCCACAACATCATGACCTTTGTAGCTCTTAATAAATTTTGTCTTTTTGTTATCTCTCTTATACCCAGTTCTGCCATCCATTTACATAATCTTGTTCTTCCATGTGCTGTGTCCCTTCAGGGCATTTACGATCATGGCTCTCCACAACATCATGACCTTTGTAGCTCTTAATAAATTTTGTCTTTTGTTATCTCTCTTATACCAAGTTCTGCCATCCATTTACATAATCTTGTTCTTCCATGTGCTGTGTCCCTTCAGGGCTTTTACGATCATGGCTCTCCACAACATCATGCCCTTTGTAGCTCTTAATAAATTTTGTCTTTTTGTTATCTCTCTTATACCAAGTTCTGCCATCCATTTACATAATCTTGTTCTTCCATGTGCTGTGTCCCTTCAGGGCATTTACGATCATGGCTCTCCACAACATCATGACCTTTGTAGCTCTTAATAAATTTTGTCTTTTTGTTATCTCTCTTATACCCAGTTCTGCCATCCATTTACATAATCTTGTTCTTCCATGTGCTGTGTCCCTTCAGGGCATTTACGATCATGGCTCTCCACAACATCATGACCTTTGTAGCTCTTAATAAATTTTGTCTTTTTGTTATCTCTCTTATACCAAGTTCCGCCATCCATTTACATAATCTTGTTCTTCCATGTGCTGTGTCCCTTCAGGGCATTTATGATCATGGCTCTCCACAACATCATGCCCTTTGTAGCTCTTAATAAATTTTGTCTTTTTGTTATCTCTCTTATACCCAGTTCTGCCATCCATTTACATAATCTTGTTCTTCCATGTGCTGTGTCCCTTCAGGGCATTTATGATCATGGCTCTCCACAACATCATGCCCTTTGTAGCTCTTAATAAATTTTGTCTTTTTTGTTATCTCTCTTATACCCAGTTCTGCCATCCATTTACATAATCTTGTTCTTCCATGTGCTGTGTCCCTTCAGGGCATTTATGATCATGGCTCTCCACAACATCATGCCCTTTGTAGCTCTTAATAAATTTTGTCTTTTTGTTATCTCTCTTATACCCAGTTCTGCCATCCATTTACATAATCTTGTTCTTCCATGTGCTGTGTCCCTTCAGGGCTTTTACGATCATGGCTCTCCACAACATCATGACCTTTGTAGCTCTTAATAAATTTTGTCTTTTTGTTATCACTCTTATACCCAGTTCTGCCATCCATTTACATAATCTTGTTCTTCCATGTGCTGTGTCCCTTCAGGGCATTTATGATCATGGCTCTCCACAACATCATGCCCTTTGTAGCTCTTAATAAATTTTGTCTTTTTGTTATCTCTCTTATACCAAGTTCTGCCATCCATTTACATAATCTTGTTCTTCCATGTGCTGTGTCCCTTCAGGGCATTTATGATCATGGCTCTCCACAACATCATGCCCTTTGTAGCTCTTAATAAATTTTGTCTTTTTGTTATCTCTCTTATACCAAGTTCTGCCATCCATTTACACA